AAAATATATTTAAATTATGTGGTGAATTTTCAAAACTATCTTATGAAGAATTTTTTTTTGAATTAAAATTAGGGTGTGAAATTTAAAATTTTATTTAAAGAGAGGGAAATGTGAATAATATATTATTTGCATATTTTAACCTGGGAGATAGAAAATAAACAAAAATTAATTAAACACTAAAACACGAAAAATTAAACGCTTATAAAATATGAAATGCTAAAAAATGTAAAACGCAAAAAATATAAAACGCTAAAAATATAAAACGCATAAAACGCTAAAAGTATAAAACGCTATGATTAACTTAAAAATAATATAATAATTATTATAATTTATCATTCCTTATTCTGGATTAAAATTTTATTCCTTATTACATAAATATCATTCCTTATTACATAAATTATCATTCCTTATTACATATTTTATTGTTCCAAAATTCAAAATTTTATTCGTGCATATTCATATATTTGATTTGATCAACTATGCCAAATTATATATTCCGATTTATTCCAAATTCCAATATTCGACTGGATTAATTATGAAATTTGAGAAATGTGAAGGATATCAAGCTAACGATAACGTTCAACGATTTCATCAAACCTACGAGAACATTTGAGACTTATGCGCTAACCAAGAAGAAACCGAATACAATCGAAACGGGAAAAACTTCTAGAACAACAAACTCTCTATGACTTCTCCGATGAAATTATCAGAAGAGGGAGAATGTTGCGTTATTATAATTATATATTTTTGTAATCTAATTTTATTTTTATATTACATTTTATGAATTCAAATTTATCTTTTCAACTTAACTTTTTATTTTTGTAATTCAACTTATATTACTTATTATTTTGCGTAACCTTATTTATATAACTTTCGGTTTAACTTTACTTTTTTTTTATATTATTTTATTTTTTATATTCTAATTTATATTTTATAAAACGTATAAATACCTTAAGAAAAGAAAAAGAAATTAGTCAATAAAGTTAATAAAATATATTTTTACTGACTCGAACCTCGCACCATATCGTCACCACCCATATTCTTTGCAAACAGTGTTATTATTTAAATTCTTATTAAACTTTTTAACATTGTTTACATTATTTAAAATGTTATTAGCTGATTTAACAGTAATACTAACAAATTTTCTACCAATTATAACATTTCATCTAAAGTTATATAAACACTTTGTTTAATTTAGGTTTAATGTTATCGTTTAAGCTAGATATCCTAAGTTTTTCTTTTATGCGGTCATAATTAGGATGGCCACATAGTTTATTAAGTTTAGACAACCTTAGAGACCAGTTTAAAAATGATTCATCAATTCCCTCAGTTGCGCTTAAAAAATTGTTAATATAGTCGTTAATATTTTGATTCGGTATTAAATATAGTTTACTGATAACTTTATTAAAATCCAAAAAATCATTGTCCGTGCATAAAGATTTAATTTTATGGTGCACATCATCTGTTAAATTATCAATAATTAAAATTAAGTTAATTTTAGCAGAATCAGATGATGTGCTGTTCGCAATAATTAAGTGCTCGGTCAATATATATTACTAACATTCCTATTCAATTAGGGAAATTTGTATGGAAGATCTGTAACAGATTTTAATTTATCGTCCATAAAACAAATCTTAATTAACGTTTATTAAATTTTATGATAAGACATATTAATTTATAGTTTAGTAAAAATAAGTCAAATGAATAAAATCTTCATCATTCAAAATGTAAAATTTTCCATTCATTAATTCATAGTATTTTAGCATATCCTTAAGTTTTTCAAAAGGAAAGTATACAATGTTAGAGTTCGGTATGTAATATTACAGATCTTCAACCCCAATGGTCTGATAAAGTAGGTCACACATGTGTCAATAGTAATGTGGATGTTAATTATTTTAAAAGAGAACATTACATTTTATTAATAAAAATTTTTGTCCTTTTTTTACCTTTAAATACCGAATTTTTTATGTAATGCAAAATAATTGTAAGACCGATGAGCATTTTTTTCCGGTTCCTCACCCGGTGCAACATTGAAATTCAAATATTAAAAAATTTTATTTAAGTTATCTCTAAAATTATATATTTTTTAAGAAATATCGCTGGTATTTATAGATAAAAATCTTTTACAATTTGGATAATAAATATTAAAATAGTTTTACCAAAATAAAAATAAGATCTGAATAAAAAATAAGTTTTTTAATAAAAATAATATTATAGGTAAATTGAATTTTCTTTTAAGATTAAGTTGACTATTTAACAAAATTATAGTTAATAATTGACATAAAATAAAATAATTATAATAGACCAGTTTGGGATAGGATAAAGAAAATTGGTGCTTGAAAAGTAATTTAAAATATGGAGAATGGTAATTTTTCAGCAAAATGTGATTTATCATAAGTGCCAAAGTTTATTATACTCATTGTTGCAGAGCATTATTGTTAAATCATAACTAAATTAAGTAGTGATTGTATGGGCGGAAATGATAATAATATGAGAATGGAATAAATAATATCAACATTTTTCATTACAATCTTAGATATTAACTAACAATGTTTTGTGGCAATTAAAAAAACTTAAAATTTGGGTAAAAATGATTCTGAAGCTTATTTTTGATAACATGTTTTTTTTACAAAAGCAAAATAATTCAATGTTTTTTTTTTATATTAAGCTGTCTTCCGAATTATTATGAGTTCTAAGATTTTTATTTACATTAAGCTATAATAACTAATTATAATCCTATTTTTATCACTATTTGGATTCTTAGGACACATCAATTTTTAAGCTACTTGAAAAAAAACCTAATAATATTTAGATTCAAACCTGTCATATTGTACAAACCAAGGAATCTTCCGATTTTAGAAAAAGTCTAGTATATTGTAAATGTTGAAAAATATCATCTTGTATAAAATTAATATATATTTAGGTAGAAACTGTGAATTAATATCTGTATTTGAAAGGGTAGTGGATGGGGTTAAGCTAGTGTGAGTATTATATTTTAAAATTTTATTTACACAAAAACTATTTTACAATAACAATTTGACAACTTTTTTCAGGCTTGCTAATTTTTTTATCTTGAGTATGGAGACTTTTAGCTTAATATATATTAATTATCAATACTACTTATGAATTATGATATATATCTTATGGTGTTTTATTTTAATATATTATTTGTTTTATGACATAGTTCTAGTTTCATGATACTGTGTGTGGATACTTTTTTTTAAAGCTCAAAAACATTAAATATTGGATCTGATCACGATTCTACAGTTTTAAAAAAATTGGATTGGGCTAATATTTTCAAAAAACCAAAACAAGATTATCCTTCATTTTTTATGATTATAAAATAAAGAATATATTTTTATACTTAATTTTTTAAAAAAGAAACAAAAATTCAATTCATTTTTGATAGTAAGGTTAAAATAAATCAAATTAATTTTTTTATTTTAGTAACAAGAAAAAGATTTCAGCCATAAGTATTGCTGACATTTTAAATAAGATGACATAATTAACTTATGTGGAATTTAAAAAAAAAATTATTTCAACTTTTTTTGAAATAAATATATGATTTTTATGACATTAGTTCAAAGATAAGATGGTAAATAATAATTAATCTAAATATAGGATTGGTCTTGTATGAATAATTGGACCAGTAAAAAATTTGTCAATCCAACCATACTTAATATTTATTTTATTTAAAAATCTATGTGAGATTTGTTCACCCACCAGTTTCCTTTACCTATACCCATATATGATTTTACATATCTAGGTGCTCTTATAGGGGAAAAGGGGATTACATTAATATTTTAATCTTAATTATAAAATTTTTGAATTATAGTCAATATTTAATCTACCTATGCTATTTAAAAAAGTAATGCAGTAATAGCCATTACTATAAAAAATGAATATACCAGACAATGTCAGCTTTAATTGGCCATATTTACTTAAAATGAAATACAGATTAACATCAATTAATAGCTACCCAAGTTAGTGTGGAAAGATGCTTTTCAACAATTAATACTATCTCTTTATAGATGTAATTTGAGTGAGACGAATCTTAAAAATATATTAATTGTGTGGCCTAATAAAAATTTTTTAAGTAAATAAAGTTAAATATTGTTCATATTATAATTAATCATTGATATTTTGTATTATTTATAATTTAAATATTATTTTATAAGCTGCAATTAATAAAAATGAAGTTTTATGTGTGTTTTTTATTTTAATGATAAAAAAAAACCTCCCTATACATAATTCGAATGTAGATTTGAATACAAAAATGTTCAAACCGGGTTTTAGAGGTTCGAACCTAACCTGAACCGTCATTTTTATCCGAAACTGAACCGATATTTGTTTTGGTTTGGATCTCTGATATATTTCATATATATCTTTAAGTATTTTTTTGTCACTTAGATATTTTTAAATATTATTATTTTACTAGAAAAATAATCAAAGTTTTGGCTACCAATATAATCTTGGTATTCTATAAAATTTTTAGCTTTTGCATAGATTTAATATTCTCTAATAAAATTAGTAATTTTGCAATGTTTAATCCTGCCTTAATTTGGTAAATTCAAATCGAACTCTCTCTAAAACTATCCTAATATCCTAAAGAATTTAGATGCGACTAAAAACCGTAGACCTCGGAATATTGTTGTCATACTACCAGCAAATTCAAAGATTTTGGATTTATTATAATAAAATTACCTTCACATTAAACGCCTATTATGTGATCTCTAAATATCTTCCAAAAAAAATTTGGATGTTAATATGGGCTTTTGGAAAATTTCATATGGCAAGAGGGTGTTGCACTGCTAGTGCTAAGTTCGATTTAATAATTAGTTGTATGTCGAAATGGCTGTATATGTAATTTCTTGGACGTGGTTAAGATATACATGTCAAGATCAAGGCAGCGTATATAGAAATCGTTTAATAAAATTTTGTAATTATTTAATTAATACGACGTTCATATTAGCTTCCCAAAAAAACGCATTTGTGATAATAAGAATGCATCCCTTAATACGTTTTTACCGATATCGACATGAATGTGATAAAATGTTTTTATATTCTTTCTTTTATTATTATGTCTGACGCAGCTCTTGAGCAAAATGAAATACAAATAAAACCAGGGAAAAATTTGTATTCGATTTCATTAGATGTATCTATTATATATATATTTAAATAATATTTGTATTTTAGAACATTGAATGTGTTTTTGAAGCTAATGTTCAAGGTGGAACTGGGGAGGTTTTTAACTATAATTTACTACATAAAAATTTATTTTAGAAATGGTATATTAAAATTGGAATAAATGATAAGGAAACGGTTTGTCAGATAAACAGGAATAGTGAAACTTATCTTGTGTTTCAAAATTTTAAACTAAAAATGAATGGAAAAACTCCTGATAATGCAATGCTTATGGTAATTTAGATTATTTATATGGTTAATATTTTTGACTTAAAAGCACAAAGGTCTAGTCCTAGATGGCCAATTTATATTTTCTAAACAAGATGGATCAGGTAATGTTTCCATTTATAAAATTTATAGTCAATATTAAATAATCATTCTAAAATATTTTATTTTAATATTAAAATTTTTTCTTAAAAAATCAATATTTAGTTAAAGAAAGTCCGATATTTAAATCTAGATTGACAACAATTGTGTTAGGTGCTCTAAAAGAAAATAAAAATGAATTATAGACTTTAAAAGTTTGTTCTAATTTATTGATTGTATTTGGTTTGATATATAAATAAATTGGTTTTGGATAAATCTCGTAACCACAAGAGAGATTCTTTTGGGGAATAAATAATATTCTTTTAGATATTAAAAATTATTATTTATTATATTCAATTATATATATAAATTGATGCATTGATTGATTTTATAATTATGGTTTTGCATGATATCAAACAATTTACATAATTCTGACATCGATTACTCTGATTTCTCTAATAGTTTAAAATATTCAAAGTTTTATTTAATCTAGGTTCTTTAGAAAAATTAACTATAATATTTATTTCTTTGATTATATTTTACCAAATACTTAAGGCTTATTCTGCAACATTAGATTGAATATTTTAAGAATTAATTTTAATTTTACCTACAGCTTCTAATAAGGAAAGAATTTTTTTAAAACCGCTATCATCGATTGAATGGTCTGCCATTAAAAGTGACCAACTCAGTACAAGCATCGATTATTATTATTTTTATTTAGTTTTACTGATATTGTTTGTTCTTTTAATGCTTCTGCTATCGTCTGTTGGCTTGATGTCATCTTAAACTTTTTATTTTATTAGGCTTTTGTTGTGATATTTTGTTAATTTTATCGAATTCTAGATGGTGGTTTTTTTGTGATGCTCAAGATTTATGATGGCCTTTCATATTTATTTAACAATCAGTAATATTACATTTTGATGTGTCATTTATAATGCTATATATAAATAATTTATATATTGGATTTAATTTTTTCTAGGCATTATAATTTATAAGCTTAAAATATTTAAAAAATGCTGTAAAATGGCAATATACTATAATCTTTAAAACAATTCAAATATAATTAAAATTTTTGCAATATACTAGTAATAACTTACTCATTATTTTATAGGCATAAAATCATGAGGCTCGAATTGGTTCAGAGGCATTTTAGCGGTACGGTTTAGGTTTGGCTAGAAATTATTTTAGAGGTTTAATACCAGTTTTAGCAGTTTAATGGTTCGGTTTGGATCCCTGAAATATACACATATAAATTTTTATTTATAACATTTTACAAATAGGTTTATCCCCAGCTTCGAGATTTTACAAATTTGGGGGCCTCCTTAGTAAAGAAAAATTATTTTTTAAAAAAATTGGCATAAAAAATGTTTTAATAAGAAAAATTTTTTTTAAAAAATAGTATGAAATCTAAATATGTTTTAAAACAAAATTTTTAAAAATATTATTAACTTTAATAAAAATTTTTAATTATCTGGTGGAATTATAAGCACTATAAAAAAATCATTTATTCATTTAAAAATAAAACCATTTATTGTCTTAAAATAAATAGCCGCGAAATTTATTTATAGTTTTTATATAAAAAACACAAAATTATTATAAATATAAACATTTATTGAATGGGCAGAAATGAAAATAATAAATAACACAAACAAAACCAAGCCTCCTAAAAATAATTATATTAATATAAAATATATATGTTTTTGTATGATTTATATTAAAAACCTTTTTTATTCATTTTTCTTGAGTTAAAATGAAATTAACTAATAACCCAGAACTAAGTATAAATATTAAGAAAATTTATAATGCCCCCACCCCATCCCAACTAAAATCAATTATATTTTTTACATATAATTCAATGTAAATGTCAGTAGCGTCACTGGGGGCTAGGGCACAGGCTATAGCCCCCTGAAATTTGAATAGCCCCCTTAAGCGAAAATTTTTTTTTCTTAATGGCTCCCTAATTTCTCTCAGAACTAAAAATAAATTTTTTGATAGCCCTCTGAACGATTTTTTTATAATTTTATTAAGTATTATATATAATGATTTGATTTTATTATTTAAAAATTACCCACACTATCTAAGTTTTATTATTTGAGTGCTATTTTAATTATTAGATTCTGTCTGAATTATTAAATAAGTGTAATTTTATTTATTAGATTAGATTATAATACATAAAATTATATTTTCGCTATGTCAGCTTGTAATCAAATTCTGTTTTAAAAATGGAATATCAATATCACTCATATTGTCTAAATATTAATTTAGCATTATTTTTATTATTTAAATTATTTTATAACCCTAATGAAATAATTATGATCATTTATTAATTGAAGATTAACAAATATTGTAATTAGCCGAGTTCAAAATTACTAATCAACTATATTATTCATTTTTAATGCTTCTTCCTAAAAATATTTTCAAGGTCCAAATATAAGAGATTTCTTTATATAAAGTTAGACATAAAGTTGATAATCCTCTATTATATAAAATTAGTTATAAAATATTAGGTAAAATACCACTTTTAAAAACGTATTTGACATTTATAAAATATATTACAGTTAATAATTTAAAATTTTACTAATAAATGCTTTTCATAATAAATATAAGTAACAATTCACATTTAATTCTTTAACGCCATCTATCTATTTAAAAATATTATTAAAAATTAAGCATCTTATTATTTATCCCACAATGGATGTAATCTTGGTAGATTCTTTTTCCTTCTCCTATTTTACGTATTTTTAGGAAAGCTATTTTTTTCTTCTTTGAAAAACAGTTTTGAGTTAAATTTTTAATACGAGTATATTTATTATTGCAAACTACTAAATGTTTCATTTCTGATATGGCATCCTTGTGTAAATAACTCAAGGCTTCAATATATTTGCATAATTATTTCTTCTATAGATTTTTAGTTTTGTTGCTTCATCAATTTATATTACAATAAATTCTGATAAGAGTTTGCATAGTGAGTGTCATGGCCAGAGTTGCCATGTCTCCCTCCATCAGCGGGAGACTAGCAATTTTTTAGTTTACACGCAGACCTCTCCAGCAAAACTACCGCAATTGGAAATCTCCCACAAAAATATACCGCAATTTTTTTTTTTAGTATTAACTTTTTTAATAAAATAATAATTTTGAGAGATTAATTGATTATTTTAATATTTTTTAAATAAATTTTAAATATTTATTCGAAAAATATGTCTAGTCTGTAAATTTCTTTCTATCCTGTTTTATTGTATCAAATAATAATTCAACACCCTTTCATTCATATAAGTCAGTACAGGGGAGTATCAACATCGATTGCAATACAAAAATATTCTCAAAAATAATAAATAATACAGATGCAACTACATTTGTGGAAATTGTATTCATCTATCATGTAGTTTAACATTCACAGAGCTATATCATCACAATGTTGATCGAATCTTTTTCTCATGATACTTAACGACTCAAATATAAGTACAAACCTTACTTGTGGCAGAACAAAAATGAGCAAGGCTATCACAAGTGTTTTAGTACCTGAATCTTAGAGGTCAATTCTAGACGATTTGAAAGATGGGCATCCATATGCGATTCTAACAGATGTATCTAATAAGGGAAATTAAAACATTTCCCTCTATCCTTCGCTATTTCAACAAGTATAAGAACATTTCAATAAAACAGTTAATAAATTTTCCTTGGATAGTAAAAAATTCAACAATGTAGCTAGCCACATAATGGTAATAGCTGATTCAGGGTTATCAATGATTTGCATGTATGCTTTCTACGCTGATAATGCCTCTGTAAATTTTTGGCAAACCAAAGTTACCAAATTGAGGCAGCACAATAATGAATTAATATCAATTGGCTGTATATGCATGTACATGTACTACATAATTCTTGCAAGAAGGCAATGAATACTATCTGTTGATGTCGAAATAATTGTGTTGATTAGTCTTATTTGAATATTATTTATTTTTAAAATATATTAACGTTATATCATTTGAATATCTTATATTATTTAAGTTGATTGTTTAATATTTTTCAATTAACTTTTATATATATATACTGATATATTTTTAGTTCTTTTAGACATAGAATAATAATAAAATATTTTAAAAAATAATTAATTTGAATAGCTTATTTCATGGTGCCCCGGTTACGGTGGTACGTTTTTTGTATTTCTTTTTTTAAAAAAAAAGTATATAATAAAAGTTTAAAAAATTAAAATATATCCTTACCTTTTTGTAAAAATAAAAAGTAAAGGAATTACTTATCAAATTCATCGTTCGATATTGGAGATGATAAAAGGACAAATAAAATTTTTTGACTTTTCTTTTCGATAGTCAAAATTTTATCCAAATTTACAAAATTATAAAAGGTAAAAAAAAAAAAATAATAAAATAAAATATATATATATAAATAAAAGAATAATATGATAAAAAATAGTTTTTCATCAAAATCTTTCAATTTCTACGTTAGGATGTTTTGTTTCAAAGCTTTTAACATACCGCACTGCATAATTATTGATAAGATGTTGAGGGAAATGGGAGGATGCAGTAGATTCTCTTATGTCCGAAATAACAGGACGAATGAAATTCACTTTTACTTTAAAACCCTCCGAGAGATGATCAATACTTATATGTCTCTTAATGGAAAGCCTTACGTTTTTGATGAAAATAAATTCATTTTTATATTTTGTGCAATTACGGAATATTAGAAAATAAATGTTAAATCTTAAATATCTTTGCAAACATTATAAGCTTTATATATTTGACATACTACATTTATAGGGTATAGAAAATTTTCCCTATGTTACGTTATTAAATAAAAATTTACGCGATGCTTAACAGACAGTCTATAGAATATTAATAAAAATTTTTTAATTTTCCTTCATAACTTAAAGTAGTATGAAATTCTTTGTGACGAGTCAAGTCTAGATATTTATAGATAATTCAAATTAAAACTTAGTGGACTAAATCCTCTTTATAAATTAGAATTAAATTTTTCACAGACAAATTATATTGAAACTTAGTGGACTAAAACCTCTTTACGAATTTGAATTAAAATTTTTATAGACAAACTATTGAAACTTAGTGGACCACATTCTCTTGATTAAAATTATAAATTTTAGACAACTTAAATTTGATTTTAATGGACTACAATGTTTTGCTTTTACGATTTTAAAAATTGAAAGTTTACTTTATTTAAATAAAATTTTATCATGGACGAAAAATTAACTCTTACACACACTCAATATGTTCCTAAATTTCCCGTGTTATCAGGGAAATTGTCGGAAACTTACATTAACTTAATTGAA